GGCTAAGCAATCTAGCGGAGCATTCCAAAATATAGTGTAAAAATGCTCTGCTGGTATGCTCAGCTGGCTAGGCAATCTAGAAGGGCATTCCTAAATATAGTGTTAAAAATGCTCAGCTGGCTAGGCAATCCAGCAGAGCATTCCTAAATATAGTGTAAAAATGTTCTGCTGGCAAGCTCAGCTGGCTAAGCAATCTAGCAGAGCGTTCCAAAATATAGTGCGAAAAATGCTCTGCTGGTATGCTCAGCTAGCTAAGCAATCTAGCAGGGCATCCCTAAATATAGTGTTAAAAATGCTCAGCTGGCTAGGCAATCCAGCAAAGCATTCTGAAAATTAGTGTAAAAATGTTTTGCCGGAATGCTGAGCTGTCTAGGCAAACTAGCAGGGCATTCTTAAATAAAGTATAAATTTCGTTGGTCTGCAACTGATTATTTGTCACTCGTAGACTTTCTGAAATATTTGGTGCCAATGCAGATAATGACATTTTTTGACTTCTACGGGACCCTCAAGTGTCTATTTCTTTTGGTCTCCGACTGATTCTGGGACGATCGCAGACTTTCAGGAATTTTTGGTGTTAATGCAGATAATGACATTTGTGAATTTTTAGAGCCATCCAGAGTCCATTTCGTTGGTCTGCGAATGTTTCTGGAACACTCGCAGACTTTCAGAAATTTTCGGTGCCAATGGAGATAATGACATTTTTACTTCAAGAGGACCCTCCTGAGTCTATTTCGTTGGTCTTCGACTGATTCTGAGTCACTCGCAGACTTTCAGGAATTTTGGTGTCAATGCAGAAAATGATATTTCTGACTTATTGGACCTTCTGAATCCATTTTTTGGTCTACGACTGATTCTGAGGCACTCACAGACTTTCAGGAATTTTTGATGTCAAGGCAGATAATGACATTTTTACTTCTAGGGACCATCCAGGATCCATTTTTTTTGGTCTGCGACTTAATCTTGGACAGTCACAGACTTTCAGGAATTGTTGGTGCCAATAGAGATAATTACAATTTATGACATTTTTGGACCATCCAGTGTCTATTTCGTTGGTCTGCGACTGATTATTGGGCACTTGCAGACTTTCAGGAATTTTTGGTGCTAATGCAGATAATGACATTTTAGGGTAAAAATGCTCTGCTTATGACTAAGGGGTCCTTAAAAGTAAAAAAGTCATGATCTGCAATGGCACTAAACATCCTGAAAGTCTGCGAGTCTCAAGGAATCAGTCGCAGACCCAAGAAATGTACTCTGGCGATTCCCTTAAAGTCAGAAATGTCATTATCTCCATTGGCATCAAAATTCCTGAAAGTCTGCAAGTGGCCCAAAATCAGTCGCAGACCAGCGAAATGAACTCTGGTGGGTCGCTAGAAGTCAAAAATGTCATTATCTCCATTGCACCAGAGATTCCCGAAAGTCTGCGAATGTCCAGAATCAGTCGCAGACCATAAAAATGGACTCTGGCAGGTCCCTTGAAGTAAAAGTTGCCATCATCTCTATTGGCACCAAACTTTCCTGAAAGTCTTGGAGCGTCCAACAATACGCTGCAGGCAAATGGATCCCTAAAGGTCCCTAGAAGTCAAAAATTTTGATTATTTCCATTGGCACCAACCATTCCTGAAAGTCTGTGAGTGTCAAAGAATCAGTCGCAGACGACCAAAAATGGACTCTTGAGGGTCCCTAGAAGTTCTTAATTGTCAATATCAGCATTGGCACCAAAATTCCTGAAAGTCTGCGAGTGTCCTTCAAAAAGTCGCAGGACAATGAAATAGTCTCTTAAAAGGTCCTTAGAAGTCAAAAAATATCATATTTTCTATTTGGCACCGAAAATTCCTGAAAGTCTGGCGAGTGCCTCAGAATTGCCTAGAAGTCGAAAATGTCAATAAAACTTTGGCAACAATAAATCCTGGAACTCAGAATTAGTCTTCCAACTGAGCATTCCACCAGAGCATTTTTTAACTATATTTCGGAATGCCCTGCTAGATTGCCTAGCCAGCTTAGCATTCCAGCAGAGCATTTTTACACTATATTTAGTAATGCTCTGCTAGATTGCCTAGCCAGCTTAGCATTCCACCAGAGCATTTTTTAACTATATTTAGGAATGCCCTGCTAGATTGCCTAGCCAGCTTAGCATTCCAGCAGAGCATTTTTACACTATATTTAGTAATGTCCTGCTAGATTGCCTAGCCAGCTTAGCATTCCAGAATAGCATTTGTACACTATATTTAGTAATGTCCTGCCAGATTGCCTAGCCAGCTTAGCATTCCAGCAGAGCATTTTTACACTATATTTAGCAATGACCTGCTAGATTGCCTAGCTAGCTTAGCATTCGAGCAGAGCATTTTTACACTATATTTAGTAATGTCCTGCTAGATTGCCTAGCCAGCTTAGCATTCCAGAATAGCATTTGTACACTATATTTAGTAATGTCCTGCTAGATTGCCTAGCCAGCTTAGCATTCCAGCAGAGCATTTTTACACTATATTTAGTAATGTCCTGCTAGATTGCCTAGCCAGCTTAGAATTCCAGAATAGCATTTGTACACTATATTTAGTAATGTCCTGCTAGATTGCCTAGCCAGCTTAGCATTCCAGCAGAGCATTTTTACACTATATTTAGTAATGACCTGCTAGATTGCCCAGCCAGCTTAGCATTCGAGCAGAGCATTTTCTCACTATATTTAGTAATGCCCTGCTAGATTGCCTAGCCAGCTTAGCTAGCCAGCTGGGCATTCCAGCAGAGCATTTTAACACTATATTTAGTAATGCACTGCTAGATTGCCTAGTCAGCTGAGCGTTCCAGCAGAGCATTTTTTCACTAAAGGTAGGAATGCTCTGCTAGATTGCCAAGACAGCTGAGTATTGCAGCAGAGCATTTTTACACTATATTTAGGAATGCCCTGCTAGATGCCCAAAACAGCTGAGCATTACAGCAGATCATTACCTTCCCTATATAAATTGAAATGCCTTTTTGCTTAGCTCACTGTTCACTGCTAACTTCTCACATACGAGAGACTGAAGAGATCTACTACTAAGGCTACTCTAACAATAAAATTGATAATTTACAAAATATCAAATGAAATATTTATGCGACAATCTCAGTTAATGACAATACTATAGTATATCAAATGTATTATTCATTTAACATACTCAATTTATTGTTAACTTATTTTTAATACATGATATTTATATGTTACTGCTTTGGTCAGTTTATGTCAAACTTCGACTTAATGAACAAATAGACGATTTGAACGTGAAATAAATTCGTGATTTCAACATATTGAATTCACGATTTCAACTAATCATGATTTCAATATTTAAGAATAAAATGACTTCTCAATTTCAAATTCAAGAATTTCCCTATTTCAAATATTACTGAAACTGTGCAAACGTTGTTAATTCGTAAATTTTACATAGTAAATACGTGAAACAAGAACACGAATTCGCGGTCACCACCACTTCTGCGGAAGTTTCTAAATTCAAAATTTCACAATTTCCATGATTAAATGTTGCATTCTGCTTAAGCCGGTACTAGGGGGCGTGGGCACGGTAACTTGCACTTTCCATTACCGTCTATAAACAGGCGCAATCAAAACGAGCCTACAACATTTTCAATTTTGCCTTGTTGGGCTATCTTTAGGAATTCTTTATTTCTCTCTATTTTTTCGTACTAATGCAGTTATGTTTAAACCGTTTTCTACGCCTAAAATGTGCATAGTTATACAACGTTTTTTTTGTTTTTCTGTATCAATATGAAAAGTTCATATGCATTTTTGTAAAACATATCATCCAAAAGTGTATGTAATTTTGTCTAGACGTGCCATTACATCAGAATACACATCGTCTGCTTATGGAACATTCTTCTAAAAAATAAAAAAAATAAAAAAATAAAAACGAAAAAAATGACCATCAATACGTGAACTTATATTGCAAGTGTTATTTTTTTTGTTATAATGTCTCGTTACAATCATTGACATAAGCAAATGGAGATTGTTATATATAGGCATAATGTCAACTACTCAGATATCAATACATGTAGATCTTATCATTTGTCATTCAATTTTAGCAACATAATCTTGTTCATATTAAGACAAGGGTCCTAATTAAATCTATTTCATTTATTTCAGATGTGTTTCTGATATACAAACTCCGGAAAACTTGATGATAGCGTACTACAGCTGGAAGTTTAATAACTACTGATATATATACACACATATAGATATAAAAATTTCCTAAGGCTAAAAGACTGATGGTATAATATGATGATAATTTATCATGTCTTATTGAACGTTGTACTACTTCTCAATACAGAGAGTTCGATAACAGACATTTGAACATCCTTACATATTTCATTACTTACATTCTGTATTCTAATGACAAAAACATTAGACAGAAGGATTTCAAGGATCTCAACAATAAAAATATAAACCAACGAATAAAATGTTCACTCCAAAAAGTATTCTTTTACTGAATTGCCAAAGTGAATAGAGATTGTATGTGAAAAAGTCTCAGTACGTAATGATTGATAGAACATACATGCACACGAAATGAGAAAGTGTATTTTTAAAGGGCACAGTGTTTTTTTTATGTTTGATTTTGCATTTGGGAGGGTCAAACTTTGGTGGAAAATTGTTTTTTTGATTTTAAAAACTTTTTTCCAAAAGAGTCTACCAAACGGAAAATTTAAACCCCTCAATTACTTTGAATTTCACCAAAATTGGCCCCTAGTTTAAAAAAATAATTCCGGATCAAAACAAACTATTTCATCGTTCTGCAACAAGAAAAAATGTTGAACATTTAATAACTTTTTCAAAAGGAAACGAAAAAGACCAAGATAGAAATTTTTTGATAGCATATGAAAGGTCAATCATTTTGTTTAATTTGGTTTGGGTTTTTTAGGTATGACAAACATTTTTCAAAATTATTACCCGGGGCATCATTGAAACCCCAGCAAAAAACAAAGGGAAGGCGAGGGGGAGAAATATTTAAGGATTTTTTTAAAAACAGCCGGAAGCGAATGAGTACTATATTTTAAACTTTGGGTATTTTAAACAGAGGTGCAGTGAGAAGATTCGCTATACGTTTAATTCAAAATCTCATGTAAGATTATGGTTAGATGTCTTGGAAACAACCCCAGAGAAAATTGTATATGAAACTACCATTAAGGAATGGACCATAGCCGTGAAGCGGTATGAATATGTCAACCTATATCATACGATGACGGACTTTTACAATGCATTTTTAGTTTATAAAGCATTTAATATGTCACTAGGAAATATAACGATATTGTGGATAGACGGTCATCCCTCTGGAACTCTAGATTCAACGTGGGAAACCTTATTTGGACATGTGTTACGCGCAGGATATATTGTACAACCATCCAAGTTTAATCAAATGATTTGGGGAATAATGGGATATGACAGTTTATTAAGTCAATTTGAGAGAGAAAATGTGCCATATTTGGAAGAATTCAGAGACTTTTTTCTTACAAGACATGCTGTTTCAACAAAGACTGAACTGAATTGTACTAACCTTAAAATGATGTTTCTTTGGAGACGAGATTACGTAGCGCATCCTAGAAACCCTTCTGGGTCTGTGTCGCGAAAAATAGCTAATGAAGATGAATTATTAGAAAAGACGAAGAAACATTTTCCTCACGACAATGTTACTGGACTTCAGATTGACAAATTAAACATGCAGGATCAGCTAAAAGTGATAGCCAATGTAGACATTCTGATCGGAATGCATGGAGCTGGGTTAACTCATACATTATTCCTACCTCAACATGCAGGATTGATAGAGTTGTACCCAACATACTGGTCTAATGCAAATACACATTTCAAGTCAATGGCAAGATGGCGAAATCTACATTATTTAACATGGAATAATATTGACAGATCGAAAGAACTTCAAAATCAATTTACAATTGTGAATGTTGACTTTATTATAGATCTAATTTCACAAATGAAACAAAAAATATGCAAATAATGAGTAAAGTGAAATAAAATATTTATTAATTGTAAAAATGTTAACCATAATGAGACAATGTGCAGAGCGCAGGTTTGACCTTTCTCAGGTCAACGTCACGCTTAGTCATTTTGTATCAATGTCAAAATTGTGTGTCCGCTCTGTATTTTTTGAACCCATGGAAAGAAATTAAAACTTTTTGACCGAGATTTTACGAAGATGTGCAGAACACAAAGACCAAATTTGCCTTGCCCCGGGGACTAATTGATTTATATAGACTTATATATGAGTTTCCGTGTCTGGTCTGTATCTTTTGAACGGGCGGGATGAAATTGAAACTACTTGACAGAAATGTTAACCATAATAAAACATTGGCAGAGCGCAGGTTTGACATTCCTCATGTCAATGCCAATGTTACATTAATTCATTTTGTATCAATTTCAAAATTGTTTGTCTGCTCTTTTTCTTTTAAACCAATAGTGTGAAATTAAATCATTTTGGCAGAAATATTTATATCACTGAAATGATGTGCAGAGCGCAGTTTTGGACTACCTGATAAAGGTCAAGGTCACACTGACTCATTCAAAATCCTTATATAAGTGAGTTATGCAGGCCTTCAACCGTTCCTACTTTTTCCTAATTTTCCTACTGTTTCCTACTTTTTTATTACCTTCCTATTTTTTCTACCAAAAACCTCCAACTACTCCCTTTTGCATAACAAATTAAAAGTGATAATAGATTAAATGAAAACAAGACATGTCATTGGATGCAAACAAATGCTTAAATAAAGCATGACCTTTGACTTGCAACAAAGACATGATTAACATAAAAAGAGTATTACAAGAATATAGAAACATTAATAAAAACTTTCTCATATTCTCAGTGTGCCCAAGTATTTAAGAAGCATTCATGAATAAATGTCAAAGAAATGACTAGAAACAATGTATTGTTTTTGGTATCCAGTTATATAACCTTCACCTTTCTAGCTGTTAACCTGTGTTATTTGTTTGTGACAAGTTTTTCTAATGTGCCACAAAAGTATACCTAGTAATCTTGAAATCCATTAATGAATTACAGAATTGATGACTGGATAAGACAATTGATGTACTTTTATTAAATTATACCTTATAGTCTTAGTTAAACCTTCAAACATACTCTCACTCTAACAAATTGTTTTAAGCCAAATAATTACAAAATCTGTCAATGAATGACAAAGATATGAACTGGACATGACTGTCAATACAATATCGTAACACGAATTTGGAAATTCAAATAGGAATTTGACCTTTTTGCCTGCTGAACTTAATTTTGTTCATTGCTTGTCATCTTAAAAAGCAGCAAATTTACTTCAAAGTCCATCCATAAATAACAAAGAAGAACATCTATTAATGACATTTGACTTACAAGTGAGTCCTTGACCTTTTAACTGGAGCTCAACATATCATCATCATGTGTAGTCACTGCCTAGTTATATCAAAGTCAATCTAAGGACTTTGGAATACAAGTGTGACATTGACCGAGCAGAAAACCAGATTCTTACATGTGACATGTAGTCATCATGCATAAGTAACTTATGCTTAGTTATTTTAGAATCCATCAAAGTATGATGAACATCAGCACACTTTTATGAAAAAAAAAAACCATATCATGACTTTGGAATTCAAGTGCGACTTTAAGATAGGGTCCTGATTCTTGCCCACAACACATGGTCAAAACATTTGTGGGTAGTAATTTTTAAATCCATCCTGGAATGGCAGCATTGCTAACCGGACACAAACATCTGTGCATTTTAAGAAAAATTTCCTTTGAAATCAGAGTGTGACATGAACCTTTAAAGCTGCATGTCTCCAGATGAGTCAAAATATTTTAAGACGGAAAGCTTTCTAAGATTGTAAGAATGGTAAAAATAAATAAATAAATAAAATAAGAAGATCCCTATTTCATATATTTGTTGATAAGATGGTCATACTATCAAACAGGCAAATTTATGCTGGTGAAGATCATGCGCCCTCTATGTTTTCCCAGAATAATTATTCTAATTGTGGAAAATGACCCAAAATTGAAAAGCATTATGTACAAGTCGCTATTCACTCAAATCAGGTTAAGAAAAGCATAAAGTATGATTTTCAATTTATGTATGAGTATGTTTCTAAATTATCTTTTGCTTAAATTTCTGTTTTAAGTGCCCCAGCTGATTTATGGAAGAAATTTAGTTTTTTTTTAGGTTTTTGGTCCTCAGTGAACTCCCTGTGGCTAAGAATTTTCCGAGCTCACAGAGGTCTAATGATCAGTCAAAATCAATGTCATAGTAAAGATCCTTAGATAGTGACCTCTATTCACGAAAACATGAATTTTTGTTTGTTTGTTTGATTGGGTTTTACGTCATACCGACACAGTATACGTCATTTATGGCGACGTTCGAGGAAGACCTCAGGTGCCCTTCCTTACATTATTTCAGGCATGAACGGGCACCTGAGTAGAACCACCCACGTTCCGTAAGCTAGCTGGATAGCTTCCTCAGATGAAAGAATCCAAAGTCCCTGTCGGGATTCAAACCCACAGCGGCGAGGGGCAAGTGAAAACATGCATTAAGGTTAAAGTAAATATTCAGTAAGTTCACAAAGGGCCATAATTCAGTGAAAATTTGTTTTGGAACGTGACATCCAATTATGATCCCGAAGACGTGTATTTAGTTTCAAATGAATACCTTCAGTACAAATATGTATTTGTCAAATATGCTATTAAAGACTACTTGCTTACATTGTCAGCATATGTTAGGGAATAATATAAAAATCACATATCTGAAGAAAATGCCAAATAGATTGCTTTTCTCATAATAACTCTCATAATGTATTATTTTATCAAGATATGCAATTTGATACTTCTGCGTAGGCTAATATGATCATATACAGGATAAATACCATAAAGTTAGTCTTTAACGTTTTATTTACATATTTTTCTTGTAGGAACACTATATTTTAGCCTTATAACCTCCTCGTTATCCTTACTATGCTCAACATGCATCGTTGTCTGTTTTCACTTACCTTAGCTTTCATTACGTGATAGCAACAACACGGGGACACCATATGGATCTCAAAGTTTAGCATCGGTATAATTAAAGTATATGTGAATTTCCACTCATCCACATGTAAAGTATAACACCAGATGAGAGTGTTAACATGGGGCTTATATATTTGGGCTGTGTAACCCAGTTTTTTACAGGCGATCCATATTCAACGTGGCCTAGAAATCATCAAACAACCTTTCTGACCAATTTCAATATTTGGACCAAAACAGTAGCCTCTAGAGTGTTAACAAGAATTTACTATATTTGGGCTGTGTGACCAACTTTTTGACCCCAGGCAACCCAGATTCTAACTTGACCTAATAATCATCAACCAATTTCAAGGATATTTGTCAATTTGTTTAAGTAAAACATGATGAAAAATATATGAAGCTGATTAAATTCATAATTAATGGCCAAATTATATGACTTTTAATTTTTTTATAACTATATTAAATTTCTTTATAATCTCTAACTGAATTTGTTGATACATTGTACCAAGATCAAGATAAATGGTTATTGCCAATTTGAAGATTCTGACATTTTAAAGATTTCAAAATCACAAGTATCATATTCCTTCACTTCACACCTTTTTATTTTCGGATTTTGGAAGATATAACCCATATTTTACCAGAAAATCGTTCGAAATTCAGAATTTAGAAGTTCCGTAATTGAGAGGTTTTAATTATATAGTAAAAAGGAGAATATTCGGGTCCCTGAGAAATGTTCAGATTTCAGAAATTTCCGCATTTTGGAATTTCCGGAATTAAGAAGTTACGTATACACTGATGTTCGATTTGGGTAAAGTCTTCTCATGATTTACATCTATTGAAACAGAGAGAAGCAAAGTTACCTTTAAACAAATTCAATAATAACAAACATTAATAACAGACATAATAAAGTCATTTATTTCAAATAAAAGTATATAAACAATATTTGAATTTTTAATGTTGTCATTCTGTCATTCAATAAAGTACAATAGGTTCATACTAAATTTATTTGAAGTTTGCTCCAAAGAGCTTGAAAGTATTCTTGTAAAAAGAAAAGATATTCTTCGCAGGTGATACCTTTAAACAATGCATATAGCTGTACCGATATCGGTTAACCTGAAAGTTCTTTAATGAATCTATAAGCCTACCAGAAAGTCAGTATACCCTTTTATACATTTCACAAGAAATATTTTGTGATAGTATGAACACTACATGAAGCATATCTTTAGCTTTACAAACATAATGAACTTGTTAATAGATGAAACTGTGTGATGTGTATCACAAATGGCAATTGCATGTGTGTCACAAATGGCAATTGCATGGTCGTCACAAATGGAAATCGCATGTGTGTCACAACGTGTGTCACAAATGATAATCACACATATATCACAAATGGCAATCGCATGTGTCACAAATGGCAATTGCACTGTATCACAAAAATAGAACAAAATTTGGTACTATATATTATATTCTTCACTACATAAATCCTAACTTTCATAAATGATAACAAGTGAAAGATTTTATTACAAAAATATGAAAATGTGTGACTAGAATATGATAAAACATCTGTTTGAACACTTAATACTAATGCCTTGTTCTTGTGTAACAATATGAAACTAAATTTACATAAATATAAAGATGAGTAACAACTAAGAATGAGATTCCAATGCAAAATAAGAACAAACAAACAAACAAAATTCAACAACTAAGAACATAAAAAAAACTGTCAGCACCTTCAGAACATGTTCAAAATATTGCATATTTTATAATACATGATAACATAATACTGTTCAAAAATATACATGTATAATGAATAACAAATAACACCTTTTTAACAGCACCATAGTGAAAATATTTACATAATATTGAAAATATATTACAATCACAACCCTGTTATACACTATCATCTTTGTTACCATTAAACAGAATTCCTTCCTTTCAATGGATTTTTGTTTTCTACCACTTTTAGACAAATTCATGTCTGAAAATTCTAATAAACTCCTTATTCTGGTTGATATTTCATTTTCATTTTTTTTAATACTGAAAATATTCTTTCATTCTATGAAATGTATAAAGCCCCACATGGAAAACATTTTGTCATGAGTTAAGTCGCTCTCGACTTTCCATAATCTTTTCCCAACTGATTCTGTCATTAAACCTGCAAACTTTGTTTCAACATTGTATTCCTCTGAATCATTTTTTAAAAAATCAGAAAATTATTTCTGAAAAGGGCCCACTGGCAGAGAGTTGCTGCATGACTATATAACTTTTGTAAAGGTCCCCAGACAAAGATACATACCAAGTATCTAAGCATGGTCATTGTGTATTCTGCACATACAATTTTAGTTGAAGCTCGTTTGCTATACAAGTCTATGCAAAATCAAATGACACCCACAACAGGAACAATTTGGACAACAGGGTCATAATTTGAACAAACTAAATAGGTTATTAGACAATTGTTAGTGTCCTTTGAGAAAAAACGATTAACAAAGTATTTTCTTATGTAAGTATGCAAAATCAACAGTTCCCACAGTTGAGCAAATTTAGACCTCAGAGTCATGATTTGGAAAAAACTCTGTAGTGATGATTATTAGAATTTGAAACCCAACAAATATCTTAGATATGGGCCTTATAGTTTCAGAGAAAAAAGATTTGTTAAGATGGCACTTGTAGTTGCTGTGACCAAGGAATGCAAGGGAATGCAACCACTTGAACACATTTGGAAGAACTTCATGCATGTCATGCTTTATCAATTTCTTTTTAACCTAGGATCCGGTCCAACAAAAAAATTTGCTCATTAAATGTATTTAAAACAAACTATAAAGATTACCATCCAAGAATGTAACAGAGAAGGCTTGCTGATGAGCAGAAGTTGTTTATAAAGGTATTTCTAATTCATTTCACCAATTTTGAAATAAGATAATCAAACTATATACATGTATAATACTAGTGATAAAGTATGCTGATGATTTATCTGTGGATAAGTCATTCTAGCTATAGTTTAGAGAAAATAAGTGATATACTGTTTACGTGGTTAATTTTGCGTTGTTTATTGAAATTATTCGCAAATATTTGATTGTGCAAAAAGTATTTCTGTTTAGGCAGACTTTCTTTTATCATTTGAACACATGTTTTCATACAGCATCTTACATGAATATGTTTTAATCTTCGCATACTGAGATTAATTTTCTCATTGTTTGTTTGTTTAATTTTGGTCTTAACAAATCATAAATGTATTGATGAAACAATAAATATGTAAATAACACAATAGGGTATTAATATAAATAAAGAAGGTTTCAAAATATGGCAAAGAAATGTGTGATCATGTCCTTTATCAAACTTACATCAATTATATATAAATAATAAAGGTATTAAACAATGGAATAGAATACAATAGCAGCATATTTTTAACATGTACCTGCTTAATTAATGATACCACAACAACAGTATCAAATTCAATAAATCCTATTTTCGCAAATATTTCCACACGCACACATTTGCAAAACTTTTGTAACATATAAATATTCACTTATACAGTAGGATAATTTACTATTGACACTAGGGTATCAAATCTCCTATACAAATAGCTTAAGTTTAAACATTAGGTGAAGGTATACATTACTGCACCTTTGAATAATAAACAATACAAAATTTTTAACAACATGTAACTGTTAAAGTAACATCATATTCTATTCAATGTAAAAAAGTACGTCATAATGAACGAGATGTTGATGTGATTGACCATGATAACAATTACCAGTCCTGGTATGGTGCCGTTTTTCCTGGGAACACTTTGAATGTTCCATCACTTTTATCACCTAACTCTGCCCAGAAAAATGCTTTAATTCCCTTAAATCCTTCTTTTCTGATCCTGGCAGCAAGAGGCTTGTATCCTGTAATTCACAGATAAATATATTAATGTTTGACAAAATTCTTATCTTGTTTTCCTTCAACTTTAAAGATAAATCAGAGGCATTAGTCTGACAACATTCTTAATAATATCTGTCATATGTTGCCGTTTAGATCGGAATATCTGTCCCAAAGGGGCCACTCCCATTTGACCGTAACTAGTTTTGCCGAGTTACCGCCCATGGGCGGGTTCCTGAGGGATGGATATTCCTATCCGAACTGCAAACATGTCAGATATTTTTTCTTGCATATTCTGCCATATTATTTCATATTTAAAATGGTTTACCTCAATAATGTATTTGGTCATTGAAATTAATGTCATTTCATCCATAACTATTTTCTTAGAATAGTGTATGAATTTTTAAACTTAAATTACAACAGCCAAATGATGTCATCCTTAGCACATAGTTGCCTTCTAAAATGATGTCATTTTAACGCTGTTCATTCATAAAATGCACTAAAGTGATGTTGTTGTTTGGCACACGACTCATCTGGCACCCCCATGCCAGATGAAATTTCCGGCATAGGTTAAACTCACAGAAACGCCAGTCTGCTATGCAAGAACAAATATTCTAAGTGCTTGATAGTAAACAAAAGGTCCAACAGATATTTTCTAAATTCAGAAGGCAAAATCATTCAATACTTGGGTTATGGGTCTTGGATAACTAGAACTGCCACTATCATGGCGTGAATACCCCCGCATACCACTTTGTCAGAATCAACAGTGGCCATTTAGAGCTCAAGGACAACCTCCCTGCCAAATCTGAGGTTACTTAGCCAGTGCATTGCTAAGTTATGTAATCTACATGCTTCAAATGTGAAAATGTCAAAATCAATACACTGCGGACAGGCATTCTTTAGCAATTGAGAAGAAAAGCTTTGTTTGTCAAGGTCCCTGTGACCTTGACCTTTGACCCAGTGACCTCAAAATCAATAGGGGTCACCTTATGGTCATGATCAACATCCATGCCAAATATGAAGACTGTGGGTCAAAGGAATCTTAAGTTAATTTGTGGACAAGCTTTTTGAAGTCAAAGTCCCTGTGACCTTGACCTTTGATCCAGTGACCTAAAAATCAAAAGGGGTCATCTACTAATCATGACTAACCTCCATTCCAAATATGAAGACTGTGGGCCAAAGGAATCTCAAGTTATTGGGCAGACAATCTTTTTATAGTCAAGGCCCCTGTGACCTTGACCTTTGACATGGTGACCTCAAAGTCAATAGGGGTCATCTACTAATCATGACTAACCTTCATGCCAAATATGAAGACTGTGCGTCAAAGGAATCCAAAGTTATTGGGCGGACAAGCTTTTTGAAGTCAAGGCCCCTGTGACCTTGACCTTTGACCTGGTAACCTCAAAATCAATAGGGGTCATCTACTAATCATGACTAACCTCCATGCCAAATATGAAGACTGTGGGTCAAAGGAATCTTAAGTTATTGGGCGGACAAGCTTTTTGAAGTCAAGGCCCCTGTGACCTTGACCTTTGACCAGGTGACCTCAAAGTCAATAGAGGTCATCTACTAATCATGACTAACCTCCATGCCAAATATGAAGACTGTGGGTCAAAGGAATCTTAAGTAATTGCGCAGACAAGCTTTTAGAAGTCAAGGCCCCTGTGACGTTGAACTTTGACCTGGTGACCTCAAAGTCAATAGGGGTCATCTACTAATCATGTCTTAATTTATTGAGCGGACAAGCTTTTTGAAGTCAAGGCCCCTGTAACCTTGACCTTTGACCTGGTGACCTCAAAGTCAATAGGGGTCATCTACTAATCATGACTAACCTCCATGCCAAATATAAGAACTGTGGGTCAAAGGAATCTTAATTTATTGAGGGGACAAGCTTTTTGAAGTCAAGACCCCTGTGACCTTGACCTTTGACCTGGTGACCTCATAGTCAATAGGGGTCATTTACTAATCATGACTAACCTCAATGCCAAATATGAAGACTATGGGTCAAAGCAATCTTAAGTTATTTGGCAGACAAGCTTTTTGAAGTCAAGGCCCCTGTGACCTTGACCTTTGACCTCAAAATCAATAGGGGTCATCTACTAATCATGACTAGCCTCCATGCCAAATATGAAAACTGTAGGTCAAAGGAATCTTAAGTTATTGGGCTGACAAGCTTTTTGAAGTAAAGGCCCCCGTGACCTTGACCTTTGACCTGGTGACCTCAAAATCAATACAGGTCATCTACTAATCATGACTAACCTCCATGCCAAATATGAAGACTAAGGGTCAAAGGAATCTAAAGTTATTGGGCGGACAAGAAAAACCGACGGACAGCCGGACGGCAGGACGGACAATCTGATTCCAGTATACCTCCATTACAACTTTGTTGTGCGGGGGTATAATAACCTAAATTCACATTTTAAAGACATGGATAAAGTTTACAATGAACATCTCTAGTAGTTGTAGAGATAGAACTTGTATGCAAAAACTTGTCTAGGAATATGTAATTCAAAAGACCGAAGTAGTATAATTCTTTAGACTTGAATATAGTTGTAAAATTCAGATATGGACCTATAATTAGAATCCTAAGAATTTTTCAAGCATTTCAAGTGAATAACATTTGTTGTATATGAGATATAGACCTGACAGCAAAACCTTAAAGTGACATTATGCCCATCCATGGGTAGATATAGACTGAACAGGTGAAAGTCAAAATAAGTTAATATTTTCTATTAAGTCCTTTCAAGTTTCCAATTTACTCCACATGAATGATAAATAACTCACTAGGCCCTGTGAAATGAGTGAAATTATCCGTCCGAATGTATCTGTAGCTTTCAATTTATAATAAGAGGGCCATGATGGCCCTGAGGTCGCTCACCTGTATATAGGCCCCGGAGCAGGGCCAGTTTAAACCCCAGGGCTTTTATTTGAACAAACTTGGAAGACACTCATTAGAAGATGTTTCACAATGTTAAGCTTTTACTACACACATGTAATGAAAAACAATGATCTCATCCCCCTGTAAGCTCTAGTTCATTGGGTTTTTTAAAAGAAGATTTTGTAAGTTTTTACTACACACATATAGTTAAAAACAGTGACACCCCTGGGGCGGGGCCAGTTTTGACCCCGGGGCTTTTATTTGAACAAACTTTGTAGACACTTATTAGAAGATGTTTCAAGCTTAATATCTAACTCTAGCTATTTGGGTTTTTTCTAAGAAGACTTTTTAAGTTTGTTACTATATGCATATATAGGGAAAATCAAGACCCCCCGGGGCGGGGCCAATTTTGACCACAGGACTATTATTTGAACAAACTTTGTAGACACTCACTAGAAGATGTTTCATGTTTAATATCTAAACTCTAGCTATTTGGGTTTTTTCAAAGAAGATTATTTAAGTTTTTGCTATACACATATAAGGAAAATCAATGACCCCCTGGGCGGGGCCAATTTTGACCCAAGGGCTTTTATTTGAACAAACTAAGTAGACACACATTAGAAGATGTTTCCTGCTGAATATCTTAGCTCTAGCTCTTTGAGTTCTTTCAAAGAAGATTTTGTAAGTTTTTACTATATGCATATAGGGAAAATCAATGACCCCCTGGGGCGGGGCCATTTTTGACCCCAGGGCTTTTATTTGAACAAACTTGGTACACACTCATTAGAAGATGTTTCATGCTGAATATCTTAGCTCTAGCTCTTTGGGTTCTTTAAAAGAAGAATTTTTAAGTTTTTACTATATGCATATAGGGAAAATCAAGACCCCCGGGGCGGGGCCAATTTTGACCCCAGGGCTTTTATTTGAACAAACTTGGTAGACACTCATTAGAAGATGTTTCCTGCTGAATATCTTAGCTCTAGCTCTTTCGGTTCTTTAAAAGAAGAATTTTTAAGTTTTTACTATATGCATATAGGGAAAATCAATGACCCCCTGGGGCGGGGCCAATTTTGACCCCAGGGCTTTTATTTGAACAAACTTGGTACACACTCATTAGAAGATGTTTCATGCTGAATATCTTAGCTCTAGCTCTTTGGGTTCTTTAAAAGAAGAATTTTTAAGTTTTTACTATATGCATATAGGGAAAATCAATGACCCCCTGGGGCGGGGCCAATTTTGACCCCAGGGATTTTATTTGAACAAACTTGGTAGACACTCACTAGAAGATGTTTCATGCTTAATATCTAAACTCTAGCTATTTGGGTTTTTTCAAAGAAGATTATTTAAGTTTTTGCTATACACATATAAGGAAAATCAATGACCCCCTGGGCGGGGCCAATTTTGACCCAAGGGCTTTTATTTGAACAAACTAAGTAGACACACATTAGAAGATGTTTCCTGCTGAATATCTTAGCTCTAGCTCTTTGAGTTCTTTCAAAGAAGATTTTGTAAGTTTTTACTATATGCATATAGGGAAAATCAATGACCCCCTGGGGTGGGGCCAATTTTGACCCCAGGGCTTTTATTTGAACAAACTTGGTACACACTCATTAGAAGATGTTTCATGCTGAATATCTTAGCTCTAGCTCTTTGGGTTCTTTAAAAGAAGAATTTTTAAGTTTTTACTATATGCATATAGGGAAAATCAATGACCCCCTGGGGCGGGGCCAATTTTGACCCCAGGGCTTTTATTTGAACAAACTTGGTAGACACTCATTAGAAGATGTTTCATGCTGAATATCTTAGCTCTAGCTCTTTGAGTTCTTTCAAAGAAGATTTTGTAAGTTTTTACTATATGCATATAGGGAAAATCAATGACCCCCTGGGGCGGGGCCAATTTTGACCCCAGGGCTTTTATTTGAACAAACTTGGTACACACTCATTAGAAGATGTTTCATGCTGAATATCTTAGCTCTAGCTCTTTGGGTTCTTTAAAAGAAGAATTTTTAAGTTTTTACTATATGCATATAGGGAAAATCAATGACCCCCTGGGGCGGGGCCAATTTTGACCCCAGGGATTTTTTTTGAACAAACTTGGTAGACACTCACTAGAAGATGTTCCATGCCAAATATCTAAGCTCTAGCTCTTAGGGTTTTTTAAAAGAAGATATTTAAAGTTTTTTCTTTCGGTTGCCATGGCAACCAGAATTCTGCATGGAATTAAATTCTTTGAACAATTTTTAAAGGTGACCACCAAAGGAACATTCCTGTGAAGTTTGGATGAAATTGGCTTAGTGGTTTATGAGGAGATGTCATTTAAAGTAAAAGTTTACGGACGGACGGACGACGGACGGACGCCGGACGAAAAGCGATCACAAAAGCTCACCCTGTCACTTTGTGACAGGTGAGCTAAAAAGATTGGGGCAGTCTTTTTATATACTTAGGTAGATTTATTTTTTACCCTACACATTTTCAAATATCATGTGATGGTCAATCACCATTATAACGACCAGTTTATTCAAATATATAGTCAATCAAAGTCAATTTGACAATGAAAAAATGGGCATAATGTCACTTTAATCAAGCATTTTAAAGACTTCAATTTGTGCATTCTATGTCACATGACATTCAAGATCAGGTCTTTTCTAAAGTAGGGTTCATAAAGACATTCAATGCCCAAATTCAAGCCCTTTTTGTAGCACATATATCTCTTCTCTGCAAGTAACTCAGTCATAATGACAAAATATTGTAAGACTTTACTTTGACTACAGCAGCTTCTCACTTTTAACAACAGATTATGTTATATTTTACAATATGATTAAGCAAACATTTTTATTGATGTTGGTACTGAAAAGAATGGGATCTTTTGTAGAAAACTTTCAACTTTAAACAAAGCACTCTGTCATTCTTTTTCATTTTTAAACAGGTTTTCAAGACCTTTTTAACCATTTTTTATGAGAATAACAAATTCAAGTATCTCACCTTTTCCTGTGCTATCATGTAAATCCCTCAAATATATCACCTTTTTGTGTGCTATCATGTAAATCCCTCACATTTCTTATCTTTTCCTACGCTATCATGTAAATCCCTCACATTTCTTACCTTTTTCCAGTGCTATCATGTAAATCCCTCACATTTCTCACCATTTCCTGTGTTATCATGTAAATCCCTCACATATCTCACCTTACCCTGTGCTATCATGTCAATCCCTCACATACCTCACCTTCTCCTGTGCTATCATGTAAATCCCTCACATATCTCACCTTTTTCTGTGCTATCATGTACCCTCACATATCTCACCTTTTTCTGTGCTATCATGTACATCCCTCACATATCTCACCTTTTCCTGTGCTTTCATATAAATCCCTCACATATCTAACCTTTTCCTGTGATATCATGTAAATCCCTCACATACCTCACCTTTTCCTGTGCTATCATGTAAATCCCTCATATATCTCACCTTTTTCTGTGCTATCATGTAAATCCCTCACATATCTCACCTTTTCCTGTTCTTTCATATAAATCCCTCATATATCTAACCTTTTCCTATGATATCATGTAAATCCCTCATATATATCTCACCTTTTCCTGTGCTATTATGTAAATCCCTCACATTTCTCACCTTTTCCTGTGCTATCATGTAAATCCCTCACATTTCTCACCTTATCCTATGCTATCATAAAAATCCCTTACATATCTCACCTTTTTCTGTGCTATGTATAAATCCCTCACATGTTCTATCAGCATTATAGACCATCATATCTCCACCTTGCATAGCAAAACCACCTACAACATGGTTAATACCAGTGTAAAATATCAGTGTATACAAGAAAAGTAAACATAACAATACTGATTTAGTTATGTATAACTCATAAGTGATTACTACAACACAACATCTGCAGGGAATATATGTTTTTGAATAACTTTAAAACAAGAGGGCCATGATGGCCCTGAAGTCGCTCACCTGTATATAGGCCCCCGGAGCGGGCCCAGTTTAAACCCCAGGGCTTTTATTTGAACAAACTTGGTAGACACCCATTAGAAGATGTTTCATGCTAAACATCTAAGGTCTAGCTGGTCAAGTTTTTTCCTTACACATATACTTAAAAACAATGACACACCTGGGACAGGGCCAGTTTTGACCCAATGGCTTTTATTTGAACAATCTTTGTAGACACTTACTAGAAAATGTTTCATGCTTAATATCTGAACTCTAGCTATTCGGGTTTTTTCAAAGAAGATTTTTAAGTTTTTTGCTATACACATATAAGGAAAATCAATGTCCCCCGGGGCGGGGCCAATTTTGCCAGGGACTTTTATTTGAACAAACTTTGTAGACACTCACTAGAAGATGCTTCGTGCTTAATATCTAAACTCTAGCTATTTGAGTTTTTTCAAAGAAGATTTTTTAAGTTTTTGTTATACACATATAAGGAAAATGAATGACCCCCCAGGCAGGGCCAATTTTGACCCCAGGGCTTTTATTTGAACAAACTTGGTAGACACTCACTAGAAGATGTTTCATGCTTAGTATCTAAACTCTAGCTATTTGGTTTTTTTCAAAGAAGATTATTTAAGTTTTTGCTATACACATATAAGGAAAATCAATGACCCCCGGGGCGGGGCCAATTTTGACCCCAGGGCTCTAATTTGAACAAACTTGGTAGACATCCATAAGAACATGTTTCATGCTAAATATCTTGGCTCTAGCTCTTTGGGTTCTTTAAAAGATTTTTTAAGTTTTTACTATATGCTTATAGAGAAAAGCAATGACCCCCTGGGTCTAGCTCTTTGGGTTTTTTAGAAGAAGATATTTAAAGTTTTTTCTTTCGGTTGCCATGGCAACCAGAGTTCTGCATGGAATTAAATTCTTTGAACAATTTTTAAAGGTGACCACCAAAGGAACATTCCTGTGAAGTTTGGATGAAATTGGCTCAGTGGTTTATGAGATGTCATTTAAAGTAAAAGTTTACGGACGGACGGACAACGGCCGGACGCCGGACGAAAAGCGATCACAAAAGCTCACCCTGTCACTTTGTGACAGGTGAGCTAAAAAGATCAACAAAGTATCATTCCTAGAAAGTATATTATTGACCTTGTGGTTTACTTGATGTTGTTCAAAGAAATGTGGTACATATTTTGAATTTGTCTGAAATGCAGTTTTTTTTTACAAATTTTCAATTAAAGCCTTATTCTAGGGAGCTTGTTAAACCTCTCCCTTTGTACCTTGTGGCATATAATTCTATTTATCCTGCTACTGTCTATAACATCAGCTGGATAAAGCCTTGCCAGATAAACTTATCTATCTCCAGTTATTACGTCACATGATGACGTCACATGTTTAGCAGCAAAACAAAACTGCATATATAGATGCTATGTTATCGAGGAAAAGAAGAATGAAACCATTTAATTATTCTAAAATCATGATAAAAATCAGGAAAAATCAAATACATGGTTGATGTCGGGATGGAGAAGGTTTATCCGGTTCGCTGCGGAAGTGAATCTTGGCCCGCTAAAGCTCGCCAAGATACACTTTCTCGCTCACTGGATAAACCTTCTCCATCCTGACATCAACCATATATTTTCTATATGTATCACTGTTTAATGATTCATTTCTAAACTTTCACCTACTTAGTGGTACTTGAACTTTTACAATAAATCTTTTGTTCCTTAGAAACTCCATCTTTTCTGCAGACTCTCCTGATCTGCGGTTGAAAATTTTCACGTTTTTTTTCTGCGAACCCATAACATGATAGAAGCTGGTCATGAAAAGGTCTGGCCCATCTTTATTCTTAAGTACTGGTCTAGCTATCACAAATCCTGAAATCCAACAAATTGTTACTTAATTATCATAAGTGATCCATTACAAACGCAAGTAAAAAGTTCTAGTAGCTCATCTCAATAAACATTATCAATATCCATAATTTATGTCTGTGAAATAATCTATGGAGGAAAAAAAAACAACAACTATTTTTAGCATCTCACAACATTAACCAAAATTTCACATACAAGTAGAGGTCTACTCACAGATCCTACAAATCTAACTTCTAAGATGAATTACCTGTTCTGGAAGATCATAATGACTCCAGGGCAATGTTACACTATGTAGAGACAAGGGTACATATAGAACATTTTCTCTAAAGGTTTCCAGATTCGGAATAAAGTTTACAAAAAAAACAAAAAAACAAAAAAAACAAAAAAAAAAACAAGAAGAATAACAAAACAAAGTAATTTTGACCATTACCACTCCTCCTTGTGGTCCTAGTTATACGAACATCTTCCTTGGTCATTTAAAGGGTCAAACCTCTAGAACTTATCATAATGTTGCAAGTGTAACAAAAAAACCAAGATCAGTTGATTAAACAAATATATTATAAAAGACAATGGATGCTCCTTGAACACACATATTTCTCAATTTACTGCAATGGATATTGGTTTATATGAACAAGATTGTAAATATCTATTTTAGCACCAGTGACCTTGGCATTGATGTCCACTAAATCCAGTCAAAGTTACCTTAACTCAACCTAAAAGTTTAGTACTCCCAAATAGTATGAAAGAGAAGTTAATAATAAATTGCATGAGCAAACATAAAACTTTACACTGTGACCTTCATGACCCAACGCAATTATCATGGCCCAGTTCAATTAAAAAACATAAAAAAAGGTCTATTATTTACTTACTACTTGGATAAACACTTATACCAATGACCATCAACTGCATTCTAAAATTAATGAAAAAATTGGTTGCACAAACATTAATTTAAATGTCACTATTTATAATAATATTTGGCCAACAAATGCAGGGACAAAGGGTATTACAGTTTTATTACTATATGACAACACAATTTTATACCATGGACATAATACCTTTTATAAGCAGATAAAGAATGGACAAATTATTACAATCATCTATCCTTAACACAAATACTCAGATGGGAAAATAAATTAATCGAAATTCTAAACTAAAACATATAAAGACAGGTAAGTGTACCTTCACATTTATTTTTGTGATCTCCTTGTTTCCAGTGAGCTATCTGACATTCTTTACTACAGTATAAGGTCACATGACATTGTCCACATCTTTTAAGAGTACCTGCTTCACTTGCTGGCTTCTTACATTGTGCACATACAACATCTGTCAATAATAAATAGATGTCTACAATCACTGATTTTAGATGCACACTCATAATTTATTTGACAATAAGTTTTTAGTCAAACATAATTACATGCCAGACCTGCAAATGTGAAATAAATAATTCTATCTATTACTTTACAATCTTATTTTTAAGTATGGTGTGAAGTACAGATTACACTATATAAAATGTGACCTGATGGTGAACAATTGTTTCAAATTATTTGATAACCTACATACAGGATTACTAGGTCTGGCTGTTATAGAAAATTTTGTGTCAATATATTGAAGGGTAAATACTAATCATATATCAAGTGAAATTTTAAATACATTAATATACACTAGAATAAATGTTAAAACCGGTCTTCATAATGGTGATTATACATGGTCTACATATAAACAAATACAACAGACCGAAATACTTGGTCTACATATAAACAAATACAACAGACCGAAATACTTGGTCTACATATAAACAAATACAACAGACCGAAATACTTGGTCTATATATCCAGAAATACAACAGGCCGAAATACTTGGTCTACATATAAACAAATACAACAGACCGAAATACTTGGTCTATATTGGTCTTGGCCAACTGCGATTCCTTTAGAGCAGCGAAAATGTAGCATATGCCAAGTGTTAGAAGATGAATTTCATTTTGTGTTACAGTGCCAAGCATATACAGATATAAGAAACATTTATATTCCTAGCTTTTATAGATATAGACCCAATATGTGTAAATTTATTCAACTAATTACATCTGATAATGAAGTTTTATTGACAAAGTTAAGTGTGTATGTATACAAGGCATTTATGATTCGTTCTGCTAATTTATATAGTAATAATGTAAGCTAATATACAATGCTAAGAAAATTAGAGTCTTTGATAGCGTTGCATGTATATAGACAGTAACAGATTGATATAGGGTAATTTAGAATTATAAATCTACAATGATAAGTAAAACAAATGTTGAACGTTTACTCTATAGTAGTGTGTATAATATTAAATAAAGAAAAATAAGTTTAATCAGATATGTTTTATGGAACATAAAAAAATATATATATATGTATGTATACTTGTTATGACAATTTTATATTACAATTAGAATATATGAAACTCGCTCATAACAGGCATTATATAAATGTTGATGCATTGACCTAATAAAGGATATTTGTCCGTCTTACTATATACAAATGATGTGTACAATATATATTTAAGTAATGGACATACAAAAATGTTTGTTAGTTAAATATGTTCTATAGAGCAAATATCAATATGCATACTTATTGTCAACTAGTTATTTCAATTAGTAATATTTTTTATTTTTTTTTTTTAGCATTTATGAAACTTGCCCGAAACAGGCATTATATGAATGTAGATGTATTATACTGTGCTTGTACTAATAATACATAAAGATATTTGTATGTCTTATTTGTTGGATTGGGGCGGGTTGTGTGCTGTAGCGCTGGATGTGATATTTACACGAGTTGTTAAGACAAAAGTGTAAATATAACAGCTGGTGCGGGCGGACAGAATGTGCTTTTCCCTTACATGTAAGATAAACAAGTTTACTACTGCTTTTGTGCTTGTGTGTTAGGTCTGAAAGACTGATCTTTGCGATGTAATGTCAAATATTTGAAAAATATTACATTACATTATGAAGTAACATTGGCATTATATGTATGTTATCTGAAAATTTCTCTGAATATTGTTAAGTGTTAAAAATAATATCCATTTTCTTATGTAACACTAGCTCCTAGAAAAAAAAAAATTTTTTGGAATTTGTTTGTGATATATTTTTCTCATTCGCATTCAAGCAAACATCAGGTATAATGAAAAATATAAATGATATATGACATTGTGATATGTCAGATATAATTTTCCTTTTTTGGTCTTTGCAAAGCATATGGATATTCTTATTATGTCATGAAGTTCTAGTCACTGGTGTTATTAATTTGTGCAATCAATAGCACACTTTGTAAGTAATGCGAATAGATAGAGTGAGTCATAATCAGTATTAAAAAAATTAGATCATGTTTATAACTATACTTTTACTTAGAGAGTTAGAAGCATACACGATTATAACAATATGTTAGTACATTGTATGTAGTAATAATTTTCAACATGATTGTACACTGTTTAAAATGTTGTCCTCATGGGCTTTTGGCCTTCAGGATATTTTATGAAATAAAACTTTGAAACTTTGAAACTTTATATCCAGAAATACAACAGGCCGAAATACTTGGTCTACATATAAAAAAATAAAACAGGCCGAAATACTTGGTCTATATATCAAGAAATACAACAGACAAAAATACTTGGCCTATATATCCAGAAATACAACAGGCCAAAATACTTGGTCTACATATAAAAAAATAAAACAGGCCGAAATACTTGGTCTATATATCAAGAAATACAACAGACCAAAATACTTGGCCTATATATCCAGAAATACAACAGGCTGAAATACTTGGTCTACATATAAACAAATACAACAGGCTGAAATACTTGGTCTACATATAAACAAATACAACAGACCAAAATACTTGGTCTATATATCCAGAAATACAACAGACTGAAATACTTGGTCTTCATATAAAAAAATAAAACAGGCCGAAATACTTGGTCTATATATCAAGAAATACAACAGACCAAAATACTTGGCCTATATATCCAGAAATACAACAGGCCGAAATACTTGGTCTACATATAAAAAAATAAAACAGGCCGAAATACTTGGTCTACATATCCAGAAATACAACAGACTGAAATACTTGGTCTTCATATAAAAAAATAAAACAGGCCGAAATACTTGGTCTATATATCAAGAAATACAACAGGCCAAATACTTGGCCTATATATCCAGAAATACAACAGGCCGAAATACTTGGTCTACATATAAACAAATACAACAGGCCGAAATACTTGGTCTATATATCCAGAAATACAACAGACTGAAAATACTTGGTCTTAATATAAAAAAATAAAACAGGCCGAAATACTTGGTCTATATATATATCAAGAAATACAACAGGCTGAAATACTTGGTCTACATATAAACAAATACAACAGGCCGAAATACTTGGTCTATATATCAAGAAATACAACAGGCTGAAATACTTGGTCTACATATAAACAAATACAACAGGCCGAAATACTTGGTCTATATATCCAGAAATACAACAGACTGAAATACTTGGTCTTCATATAAAAAAATAAAACAGGCCGAAATACTTGGTCTATATATCAAGAAATACAACAGACCAAAATACTTGGCCTATATATCCAGAAATACAACAGGCCGAAATACTTGGTCTACATATAAAAAAATAAAACAGGCCGAAATACTTGGTCTACATATCCAGAAATACAACAGACTGAAATACTTGGTCTTCATATAAAAAAATAAAACAGGCCGAAATACTTGGTCTATATATCAAGAAATACAACAGGCCAAAATACTTGGCCTATATATCCAGAAATACAACAGGCCGAAATACTTGGTCTACATATAAACAAATACAACAGGCCGAAATACTTGGTCTATATATCCAGAAATACAACAGACTGAAATACTTGGTCTTCATATAAAAAAATAAAACAGGCCGAAATACTTGGTCTATATATCAAGAAATACAACAGGCTGAAATACTTGGTCTACATATAAACAAATACAACAGGCCGAAATACTTGGTCTATATATCAAGAAATACAACAGGCTGAAATACTTGGTCTACATATAAACAAATACAACAGGCCGAAATACTTGGTCTATACATAAAGAAATACAACAGGCCAGAAGAAATAATATTTTACACAGTAAGTAATTGAAAATTATATTATATAAACAAATCACTTAAAATGACTGCTTCCTATAGCTAAAGAATGCAATAATGTTAATAAGAGTTACCAGGAAATTTTACTGGACTGATAGACTATGTTTATGTAAATGAATGTCAATGAAGCACTGCATTAAGAATGTCCAACTCGATATAATTGAAACAAACAACCAAGTTAACACGAGGGCCAAAATGGGCCTATTTTGCTCACTTTGATGAATTATCATTTTAAATATTTTAATTTCTCCACCTTTCAGGTTTAGAAATGCTGTTTCTATATAAGTCTACTAAATAAAAGTTACCAACAGATAAGGGTCATTTTTTTATCCATAAAACAGTGCCCTTATTCCATAAAACAGTGCCCTTATTCTAAGTACTTGATATAGTTGTCCCCTTAGCTCAATAGGTAGAGTGTTGGACTGCGAATTTGGCGACCCGGGTTTGATTCCAGATGGCGCAGGTCACTTTTGTTGTGATTGATCATGAAATCCTTTCTACTGTTATTCGCACTTTAGCTCTGCACTGGTATGTACAGAACTTTCAGTTCCTTGCGAAAGTGAAGGCAACTAGTATTGTTAAACTGCTTGACAGCCTGCCCAGGAACAATGCAGCGGTTGAACTGTGCTCTGGTGAATTCAATATGGCTTACTGCCGTGATCCGGAGTGAAACTACCAACACCACCACCAAGTACTTGATAGAGGTTTAAGTAAGTACAGGTCTTAAATAGTCCTACATCATAGGTAATTAGAACAGATTTAAACTATACATGAACAAAGCACAGGGACAAGTCTATTTAATAAGATTGAATAAGTCTGGTGAAGTTAAACATAAATTATGTTAGGAAAAATACAACATAATTAAGACTATACAATATACTTAAACAATGGGGTGGAAATTTTCAGTCAAAAAAGGGCTATAATTCTATCAAAACCTATGACTTCATGTATAAAAAGAACAGCCGCAAATATACATGTAGACTTTTAGTGGTTATTATAGGTAAATAAACATTGGTAAGTTTCTTCTTTGTATCATAATCAAAATCATATGTGAGACTAAATCATATGTTATGTTAGAATAGTAAATAAACTAAATAAACTGAAAAACAGTAACAGATTTCTATGGTTACCTGAGATTTCCTTCTTACTGTCAATATCTATGACTGCATCATGCAGCAGAGATCTTATCTCCTGATTCTTAGCCAACTCGAAAGCTGTAGTACCTTCATTGTCTTCTGTTCGGGGTTCACCGCCATGCTTTAGCAAAAGTTTCACACAGTCTATAATGTAAATTTGATGCAAAAAAATTGGAAAATGCTAGGAGTAAAATATAAGAGAGTTCATAATTTCAATTCCTAAATCTTAAGCAAATCTTAAGAGCACCATACTACAAACTGAAAACATAGCTAACACCCTTGATAAAGACACATTGCCAGTCTTTCACAGTCATCTACTTACCATATCTATAACTTCTAGGAATGGTGAATAGTATAATTTTTTAGTATTTTATAAATTATATTTTTTTTACACAGGGAGTAATATATCAATGCTAGCCTTATTGAGAGGTAATTTTAGTTGTCATATGAATGTTATGAACATGATGTAATTTATGTACAGTAAAGTATTTGAGATTCCAATACAATTAACAAATCTGAAATAGTCTTGAATACAATGATACAGTTGTTTAAGGTCACTGGGGTAAGAAATTAAGAATTGTTGCTAATGTGAAAACAAGATGTCAATCTTTTACCTTCATAAAAGCTAACTTAATAATAAAGTATGATCATAAATAATAACCACAAGTGTCACTGTCATAAATATGTCTGTCACAAATGCACAATTTTATGATGAATAACATTTACACAAGAATCACATAGTCATCACCATTCACAAATTCTTTGTATTTTTTATCTGATCATTGACCTATGCATGTGACCTTGACCTTGGTCATAGGTACCTGAAATGGTGGGGAAATATGAACTTTTGCCACTTGCCCATGCACAAGTTGGGCAGAATTTTTTACTTGTCTGCAGCTAAACTTTACTTGTCCATACCAAAAAAACAATATATTGGCAATATGTTTTAATGAAAGCTAATAAATGGTAAAAGTGTCCTTTCATATTAATGAGTTCCCTGTGTATACACCAGACTTTATGTCTGCAGCTGGTGATTCTTTTGGACATACATGCCATAATGTTCCGCACGTCCAGGATTGTCATGGAAATTAGCCAACTGTCCCGAAAAAGATTTTTCAGGGTGAAAATAAAAATTTGGAACTTATTTGCAGCAAGAACAATTCCAATATTATGTAATTATATTTGCATGTTAATTATCCTAGGATACTGATCTGATAAATTTTCCCAAACTTTTTAATAATACACAAGAACTGTTTACACTAAACCAATGATTGATAAATATACATGTGTGACCTTCCTCCATCAATAAAAAGATTGCATAATGCTGCTGCTGAGCAAGTGTGTCAATAATTGTCTGCATAAATGACTGGACATCACATGGCTAAGAAAAGCCAGATCTAAAAACAAAGTTAAGGGGTGAAGCAGGGGGAAAATTTACAAATAATATACACAAACTGTTGTCTATTTCACAGCAAGAAAAGATAAGATAGTTACCATGGTTACCCTGTAGAGCAGCACCATGTAAAGCTGTAGCACCTGTATTTGTCTTGGCACCAACATTTGCATGACCCTCTGTAATCAGGAAACTTGCTATATCAGTGTTGGGATACCGACCTGTAATTATAAATATTTTATTTCTTGGATTAAGAGATTAATGCACATTAAAGTAAAGCAGGAAAGTGATTATCAGCCAGTATACACGATACAGAATACTCACCTGACAAGACATTATATATTTGTTCGACCAGCTAAATATCACTTTCTGTTGTTAAAAATCTTATTACTAGAGCAGAGCCCCAACACATAGTTGCTTTCTTTAATGGAAAAAGTAAGTTGCACCAAATAAAACTACAAATGTGTGTTCCTTTTGCCCTTAAAAAAATGTGTTTCTGCAAGTTTTGCTTCAGTTGTAATCATATACACTGTATCAACTAAGGCAGTCATGTGACCTCTAGTAGGTAAAAATTTAAAAATTCCCACTGCCCAGCATTTCTTTGTGTTTCAAATACACTTCTAAACTTGCTACAAATTCATACTAGCTGTCAACAGAAGTATGGTGTTTTATTGACAAATAATGTTTAAATGCATGAATTTCCTTTGAAACATACAAAAGATGAATTAATATTGTATTTAAACCTTAAGAAATAAAAAGAACTTGTAGTACATTTTAAACACATCAGAGTAATCAAATACAATCTGAAGCTGTATAAAGCAACTTGGTTATCTGATAAAGAGATTATAATATAATATATATAATAATATAATAATGAGTCAAAATCTGTTAATATCCACTACCTAATATCATAAATTTTTTGTCTAAAATTTGAATATCAATAATTTATATGGTAACTTTAAATAAGAACATTTTATTTTTGGAATAAATCAGATGATCATTCCTGAAAAGGTATTACCATTTCTAGTACATGTACTAAAATTTCTTAAGGGCCTTTCCAAATAAACATTATTTAAGGATAATTACAACTAACAGATATCTTTGTAAAGTTATCTGTTACCTTGGCTTATCAGTAAAATGCGGTCAAGATGTTTATTCCTGCATTCTCTGTATTTACAACAACAGCTATGTGTTTGTTAACCCACTGTAGTCACATGACCGGCTTATTGATACAGTGTATAAGCAAGCAATTTCACTTTCACTTTTTCATATAGTTTGTTTGAATGAGGTTACATGTGACATCATGTGTTTATTACACGCTGACAGCAGGCTGATTATGATGTATTACTTTTCAGCCCCAGGAGCAATCTCATATTGGATACTGTGACACTAATAATCTGTTGAAATCATGATGAATTATCTTACTTTTTATAGTAATAAGTGTATTAATAAAAGTCACAACAGCACAGTTAAAGTCTAATGGGATACTTTACTTTCTTTACCTCCACATACTTATTCAACATATTAACAAGGACATACTTGCCCACACCTTTATTGTACTTAATAGATTTCTACTGTGTCAAGGATTGAAAAATATTTTCAGAGCAATTCATCCTGTATGAAAAATAGCTGCTAAATTCTTATAGTACTGGTAAGCTTCATTTTTCTACTTATCCTGCTCTGAGAATTTTCTACTCATAAATACGAGCAGACAAGTGGGCATTTTGATTCTTGTATCCTGCACAACTTTATAGCAAAGAAACAATATAATCATCAATATTCAGTCATGAAAATTGTTCTAGTTTTGATTATATTTATTACTTTTGATGAGTACAGTATAATATTGGTTAACACCAGTAACAACTTGAAAACGTCACTAGTTTTCATAGAATAAAACAAACCTGTAGCCAGGAACAGTGGTGTGAACCCTAACATATCTTTAGCATCAACAACTGCTCCATACTTCGACAACAATTTCACTGCTGGTAGCTGTAAATAAATAAAACAGATCAGCAATTATCCATGTTATAACAGAAAACCTAAACTAAGTAAAGACTTATTTCTGTTTGTTTATGATAATTATATTAATTTATCAGATACATGTACTTGCTAGTAGATAACATACATTTGTAAATCATTAAATTTTTCCTGTATTCTCTACCAATACAATTACCAACCACTTCTTCAGTCAAAGGTGACCTAATAGATGACATGATTTCAAATACTTCATACTTCAAATCATAATGGAGAATATCATTACTTTCTATTAATATATCAATCTTACCACCACTAAATTTAATACCTCCATAATTCTCTCCTAATTTACATAAAAACCTTTCAATCTTGTGTTATCTAAACCAGCTACCTTTTACAACACAAAGTCCTGGAAAGAGTTTTGATGAAAAAGGAAGTTTTATTAGTTAATCTAATATCATATGATTTTTAACTCAAAACAAAAGTCTAATTTAATATCATCTGGTAAGCCTAATTTTATCAATTAATACATACATTCCTGCAAACTTTAAATGAACAAACCAATTCTAAAAAAGTAATCTTGACTGACTGACTGACATTTCTCTTCAAATGAGTACTTACGTATGTGGCTATTACTTTTCCAGACCCCAGTGTTCTTTTAGCTATATAAAAGTTTTTAGCCATATAAAAACATCAAAGAATATTTACTGTTACCAATTATTTCTACAGCCATGTACTGAAGTATTCATTTGTGGGTGCGGACAAACTTACACAAGGAGGGAAAGCACCATTTCCACATTTCATAAGATTTTATGAGCCAAGGAATAAAAATTAAGTTCTTACAGATGAGCAGGCAACGGCACAATGAAGAGCTGTCATTCCTGCCGTGTCTCTAGTATGAATCCTATCAGGCTCCCTCTCTGATAATACCTGGTAAAAAACAACAAAAAAACATTTGAGCCGCGTCAATACAAAGCGCATCCGCGCAGACTGATCAGGATCCATGCTGTTCGCTATCAGTATCTCTACTTGTAATAGGGTTTGTAAGCGAACAGCATGGATCCTGATCAGACTGCGCAGATGCCATGCTGGTCGCAAACACATTACGTTGGTTTTGTCATGGCGCGGCTCATTTTTCAATAAATGGAGCAGTAGTTTTACCTTCAATATTTAAATCATTCCACAAGGATGATACATGTATCTTGAATTCCTTTTAGAGTGTCCAGTAAACTAGGTATTTAGTGAAATTTTGTTTTATCAGAATTGACAATCTAATCATCTCATCACTTAACCATTTGTCAAGTAAACAAGGGCTGACAGTTGTCAGTAGCACCTTGACTATTCTCAGAGCTTGATAGTATGACAAGGTCTGCATAACATAGGAATTAAGTCACAGTTGTGGGCCTTGGATAGTGAACTCCAATTATTATCCTGAAGACATCTTTAAGGCCTTTGAAATTGAATGGTGTTCTCAAATTATGATCCAAATGATATGCTTTAAATTTCAATTGGAAACCTTCAGTAGATCCAAATTTTGATGCTGCATGCAAAACTTATTAACAGTTGACCTTTTAATCCTGCAACCTCAAAAGCAATAACCTCAAAAGTAATAGGGGTCATCTAATGGCCAAGACCAATGCATCTAAATGTATAAAGTTTGAGGGCAAAGGGCTAATTGATTGTTGAGTTATTGGTCAGAAACTGATTTGGCATACGAGTACAATGTGACCCTGACATTAGACCTCAAAATCAAAAGGCCTCATCCTCTTCCCAAGACCAATCAAACTAAAGTTTTAGGGTAATGGGCCCATGTGTGCTCGAGTTACTGATTGGGAACAATACTGGACATAGGAAAGGACCCACAGACTGACCAACATAATGCTGCAAAACAACATGCCCCATTTTTCTAAGGGGTTATAATAAATGATATTAAAAGAATATACAGGTCAGGCCTCTACAAATCCACTCATCCGCTTGCATTTGCGAGTAAAAGTTTCGGTCGGGCGAGTAAAAACTTGATCAAACTCACCCAACAGGGCGAGTCAGATTCTCCAGATCCAAATGATGCTTCTCTAAATATCGAATATAAATGAAGTTATTCATTAAAAAAATCAAATCAGACGCCATTTCAATCGAAACATTGTCAACCGAAAACAGGGAACTGACCTTATGACTAAGTATAAAACTTTACCGAATGCGTATGCTGAATCGATTCCGTAACAACAGCAGCATTCGACAATGTTTCATACATACGCATTCGGTTATGTTTTATCCTAAGCCATGAGGTGGAGTGTGTAAACATTTGAATGGTACAAGTATTCAGGCTATGTTGAAGATTAAATAATAAAAGAATAAGAAGTATTATAAACATTATTGAACAATGTGTAATTGAATAAGGCCAATTATACCGATATAGTTATAAGTTATAATTATATAGTGTAATAGATATAATTATAGAGTGTAATAAATCAACAACTGAGACAATAAGCTACCTGAAGATATTCTTTGAGTTGAGCATAATCATTTCTATCTGTAGCTCGGCATACAAGGAGTGAGAGTTCTGTCTCAGGTGTATGATGATATTTATCTAACTCTTCTTTTGTCATCTTATCAAACTTCTTACTATCAGTTTTCCAATCCACCATGTTCCTGTCTATAAAACACAACAAGTGTATGAAATGTTAAAATAGTTATTAAGTAAAATATAGTTGACTTTATTAAATAAGCTTATAGTTGAACTTATAATATACATTGTTATTATTCTCCGAAGGACAGTGCAACTTTTCTCAATGATTCTATCAAAGGTGCTTGAAACAAACTTTTAAAGCTTTTATATGGGCTATATACTATAATAAGATATATTAATATACATATATAGAACGATTATGTAAAATATTTGATTATGTGACTTGCGCCTGCGGATTCTATAGTTGTCGAAAATATATTTAGTGGTCTGATACCGAAGTAAGCTAAAAAGCAACAGATTTTTTTAACCTGAAATAAATGTGTTTAAATATATAGAGCTATATTACAATGAAATATTATAAATCGATGTCTTATTTTTTTTACCAAAATCAATATTTTTTTTTCACAAAGCTCCGTGCATTTATTTAAAATAAAGTATAGAAATAAAATAAATTTGCAAGTTTGCGTCCGGTGTTCTGTATTTCTGGCACGACGTTATTCTGACAAACCGAAAGTACATGTAGGTCTATAGTTTAAATTTACGGATTAGCTTCTTTTTATGATACCATCGAAATACATAGCGCCCATGCTTTTAGACATAGTGTTTCTGATCCGTGTATAAAATAAGTAAGTGTTCACATTCACAGTATATAAACGATTTGTACCCGAACCGGATCTTGTGAGAAGATCTCAACATCAGTTCCGTACAAACAGGCGGGGTGACCCATAAAACTTTTTAAGACGGCTTGCATTTAATCTGTAACGGTATGTAAACATTTGAATCATATAAAGAAATATTTTTTCTTTGCTTATAGATACATCTATAACCAGCTTCTTTAAATTTATGCGCATAAAACGCTGTGCTCTTCGCTTCTTGTTTTGTTTATGTCAACACACGCCGATTACACAAGCAAATTTATGACTAAAATTGTTTTATTTCACTATAACTCATATCTGAATCTTAACTTTATTGTCTTACCTCGTGTTACCGCACAGACACTTGTGTAGATATCTTTGAATATTGATAAAAACATAGTAAATAATAGAGGCGAACATTCTGATAACTGTACCCGTCTTGCTAAAACAATTTTAATGATCTGTACCCTACTTGTGTTTTCACTGAACCATAACTTGCGAGTCACTTTTGATGATTTTTATTGTTTTTGTCCTATGTTCCAAATTATATCTTGCAGAATATGAAGTTATTGTGTCACAAGAGCATGACACATCTTTTAGTTCTGTATAAGTAACCAATACTGCACATGAATGGACCTTCATCATGTTTTCACTTTCCATGGCGATACCAGCATGAAGTAGCTGGTGATACGAATTAGGAAGAAAATTATTTCTTGACAGGAATTATATCAACCAAAAAATCTTATCTTCATTTATCACTCATTTTTCTTTGAAAAGATATAAAGCTAAGATATAACATAAGTACTATAAACGTTTCTACTATTAAGTTCAACGGCATTGTTGTTGGTTTTGACGTGACCGTTGTATAACGTCTCATATCAATCCATCCTCCTCGAAAGATCATCACAGGATTATTTTTGGCAGATTACTTACTAGTATTTCAACAAAGCTTTACATCTACCGTTGATTTCAATATGCTTTTTGAAGCACGGTTTCTTATTATATTGACTTTCTTTTTCTGACATGCACGACTAGGATCACTCTTAATACATCATTTTAAAGAGTTTCCTAAATATTGTTGCTGAACGTCTAAAAGGTAGTTTTTACTCTTTCAAGTTTATTTCCACTTATTTTTAAATAGTTTACAGTCTTGCCAGTGTCTAAGATAACTTGTTAGTTTTATTTTCACACAACTTAAAAAGTTTATCATTGGCTATCATAAGTTATCTTAAGTCAAAAGATATATGTTAATCCAGTTCCTTTCTATAAATTGCTATATACATGTATTTCCGATGGATTTGGATGAATCATTTGTAGTTGAGGGTCTTGACAGTAGCTTTCGTGTAACAAACACTCCCCTGAAAACACAACATAAATGTGGGATCTGTGGAATAAGTTGACACGTTTAAACTTAAACTCTTCGTCATCTGTACTACAAAAACGTATCGTATTTGTCGATGTGTTTAACATGCGTTTTGGTTTTTTGACATTTCTTGATTGGAGATTATTTTTCAAGTCCTTCTTGTCTTGAAATTTTTACTGTTTTTGTAATATCATTTGCTTTTTAAGTCCGTTTTACTTTCTTCAGTTCTTTTGTAATAATTATAAAGTCTTTTGAGTATGATTTTAATGTTTCTGTTATTGTTGTCAAACTGAGAAATTGTTATTATAAGCAAGCTTTTGTTCTGATGTCCTAATTATGAACAATAATATTTCCTAATTTTTTTTTTGAAGAGAAAGGGGGCAATGAAGACAACTGAATTCTTCCATTTTGCCTGTCAATAAACAAATAAAAAAATTAAATAATTAACGTTCTCTCCATTAAATCTTTAAAATACTCACAAGTCAGGGTACAGATAAAATTTGTAAACTCACAAGTAGGGTTCACAATCACCAGCAAGTAACGTTCAGTTTACGGAATTGACCTCCTTGGTTAAACTCTTAATTTAATGTTCAAAATACAGCAATATTTTTTGCAGATGACTAAATTATCATTTGTTATTGATTATTTTAGTAGTTCGATATCACAATTCAATGTTTAACTAAATAAACCTTGAAATAAGACGGATTTTTGCTAGTGTTCAGTGTTGATCACCCGAAAGCAGTTCGTGAGTTTCGATTATTTTATAGCTTTAATACTAACATTTATATTTTGCATAACTTAAACGCTTAATAAAGTTTCTCTTCTACGATATAAATAAAGATTTACTAACCTAACGTCCATAAGCATCAATATAAATACCAATATATTAAACAAGTTAAGCGTCAGAAAATGGCTGACACTGACATCTTCTCACAAGATCCGGTTGGGGTTCAAATCGTTTATATACTGTGACATTTATTTAAATATTTTAATTAATCGGGGTTAATGGCCATTTCGACTAGGTCATGAAATATAACGTTCAGGTTAATTAATCTACCATTGAAATGCCTGTATAATAAAGGGTACACTAGCCTTATTAATCCGGCGTGAACGGTTCCATTTTACAACTTTTTTAAACTGTCAAACAGTAAAATGACATCGCCCGTCCAAAATTATCTCGATGGGCAGCACCTACATGTAAGCGAAATGCACATGCATATTACATGTATATATAGATAATTTTAGATAAAGGCATATATAATACCTTTTCAAATATAAAACGCTTGTTCTCCATGATCACGGGGAGTTTTTTTTTATAATTTACAATTGACAATGAGCCGAATGCAAGTAATTTAGCTGTAGATCTACCTCAAAAACTTACTGTCTTAATTATATGACAAATCTACGGAAGAGCATTAGTGCCAGGTGTATGTTTTAAATTAACTCGAAATTTCGAGTTACTAACTCGAACTTTCGAGTTTACTAACTCGAACTTTCGAGTTACTAACTCGAAATTTCGACTTCCTTATCTCAAAATTTCGATTTACTCGAAATATTGGCTCACTTACTCGAAATTTCGACTTACTAACCCGAAATTTCGACTTATTAACTCGAAATTTCGACTTACATTGCACGACTTACATTGGTTGCCTGTGAAAGCAAGGATTGAATTCAAGGTACTTTCTTTCATGTGTAGCTGTTGCACATTGACAGAGCAACTATGTATTTAACATAACAATTCAATACGGTCATTTGTCCACACATACCGAACATATCCTTCCCATTTTCTTGATTTTTGTGTAGTGGTGTAGAATCACACTTTCCACATTTCCGTGTTAACCGGGTGTTTCTTGTGTCTAAAGCACACATACAACCATCTTGTGAAGATAAAAAAGTCCAAGTCGAACCCAAGTCGAACCCACGCCAGAGAGGTAACTGGGTTAGAAGTCATCGACTCTAACCCCTCGACCACGGAGGCGGTAAATATGATTAGTGAAAAGATATGTTCACAATACAACGTCTGAAAAACGCCTGAAAGTACAAATTAAAGGAAGCCTTGTGTTTTTTAGGTCGGGCGTGTACATACCATTGTAAAAAGTTACCACACTAATAAGTTTAAGTTTAACTTTAATAGTTTGTCCAGGTACCCGCTTCTCCATCTCCATCGTTCAACCGTACTCCTTACTATATCTTGTATTATCTTAACTCTTGGCAACTCATAACTTTGGCCATTCTAGTATTGTAACTAAGTCGAAATTTCGAGTTACTAAGTCGAAATTTCGAGTTACTTAGTCGAAATTTCGAGATAAGTAACTCAAAATTTCGGGTTAGTATGTTGTAATTTCGAGTTAGTAAGTCGAAATTTCGAGATGATTAAGTCGAAATTTCGAGTTAGTAACTCAAAATTTCGAGTTAATAAAAAACATACACCTGGCATTAATGCTCTTCCGTACAAATTTGATGCCCAAATGAAGAATTATCAATATCATTTAAGTCTTATTAAAACATAACCGAATTTAACAGTTCATTTAAATGTAGGCATCAAGTTGACCTTTGCAATGTAAAATTGCATTTTGTGAAGAAATGTGTTCTTGGTTAGCAAACTGAGTCCACCATGGCCCTCTTGTTTTATATAGCAGGCCTGATAATGGTTATCAGTTATCACATGGGTGACTGAGTGTTTTCTATAAATACACCAATGGAATATTGATGATCAACTCGGCGAATCTTAGGCCTAATTGTTATATAAATATTTACAGACTGCAAATTTGAAAGAACTTTTAAAACCAATAAACGCGAGAAGTGCGTTCAATGAAGCCCTCTATAATGGGACAAAATATTTTTTTTATTAAAATGCATATCTTAGTGATAAAACTGTCAATATCTATTGAAGGGGATCCAATATTCCGTAGAAAGCTATCATTTTCCCCGTAGACTGTCGCATATCCCAACGAAATTGGTGCAGACGACTATTTTCTCTTTCGAAGTGAGTGATATTTGTCTTGGAAATGACGCAAAAAATGACGGTCACGTGTATCTGCGACAAATCATATTTTTGATTTTTTTGCCCACATTATCAATATTTATTATAAAAGACTTATTATGCCCAACAAATGTTTTCAAAAGCTCTTTAGTTTTGGTGTATTTTTTACAGTTTCTTAAAAGTTGCTCATTGGCCTGAACAAACTGTTTCTTTTGTTGACAATTAGTACATGTACATTTAAAGTGATTTAGTATTTTGTATAGAAGACAAATACTAGTACTATAATGTACTTTGTTTATATTTTAGTTTTAAAACATATTTATTTCCCAAATATATACAGTTACATATATACATATACAATACAAATACATGTACGAGTATATTCAGGAAAAGGATGAGTCTAAAATTCTTTTCCTGTTTAGTGTGTTTCTATAATGTGGCGAGTTTTGTATATCAAAAGTAGGACGACTGGGGAATATAAATATTTTGGAAAAAATAAAGATGCGAAAAAGTAAGAAACTATATAGAAATAGTTTATATTTTGTTCTTACTTTACATTCAGCGCTATTTTGCTCAGGTAACAAGCATCTAACATGCTCTTAAACCTTTGTTTAAACTTTATTAACCCTATGTTTGACCTTTCTAAAAAAGGTAAATATTTATTCATTTCTAAGGCATATAATGTGCATTAAGATATTTCTCATATCGTATTTTTCAGAGAAAGATGACGTCATCTGGACAAGGAAAATGGAGAGGCAAAATGAGTGCTGCCGGATGTTTAAGTTATCTTTGTTTGTCTGAAAATTTAGCAGATGTCTGGTTTACCTTTAAAGATGATTCTGACGCCAGACTTCCGGCACACAGATTTATTCTGCAGATGCGCAGTGAAGTGTTTGAAAAGATGTTTAGTAGAGCTTACCAGACATCTGAGGTCATCACTGACATCACTGTTGATGATGTCAGCAGAGATGTAATGGAACTTCTACTGAGGTAATGGTTAATGCATATAAATTATGCCATCAATACATATACTATCTATTGTTAGGTGCACATATATGTATAGAATCAGTCTATATGCAAACTTCTCACAGATATTGCCTCCCTTTGCAGGTTGATCTCCGTACTGATAAAGGGAGATCACTGCCTAGGAGATGTACTGATAAGGGGAGTTCACTGCGTAGGAGATTGCTATATATCCTTATGATATCCATGACGGCTATGTTGTATTGTATGCCATGAGCTATTAATAACAATTGTTAGTATTTATAAGAATTACTGTAAACTAGATCTACCTTAAATTACCATCACATTGACATCTGAGTTACCATATCACGTTAACATCTACCATATATACAGGAATTTTATCTTTAATGAAACGTATTTATTTATCCCTATAGATTTCTTTACACTGACGAACTTTATCTGAGTCCTGACAATGCATTCAATATTCTGTATGCGGCAAACAAGTATATGTTAGATGGCCTACATGAACAATGCGCCAAGTATTTGGTAAATCAGGTGGACGCCGAAAACGTGTGTGATATATACGAGAAAGTAAAAGGTTATGACCTCGACAATATCGTGTCATTAACGTGTTTAGAATATATAAGGCGTCATGCATGGAAAGTGTTTAAGACTGGAAAATTTCTTAATATCACCAGGGATACATTATCCGCAATATTAGACAGTGACATACTAACTGGGAAAGAAATTGAGATATTTAAGGCAGTCAAGAAATGGGCAGAACATCAATGTGTTTTACATGAGAAACAAACAACACCGGAAAATATTCAATCATTCGTTGGGGATACAGTTTATAAAGTTCGCTTTCCGCTGATGAGTATTGAAGATTTCATAGAGGAGGTGCAACCTAGTGGAGTACTCTCGGACGAGCATAATTTGTTGTTGCATCAATACATATCACAGAAACAGGAAGGTGACACCTTATTTGAAGGAAAGTTTAGTGCCAGTCCGCGAAACGGAGGAGTTTTAACGGAACAAATATTTAATTGTTACCCAAACCCTACATGCGTTCCTGGTGGGTGTGATCAGGCTTATTTGATGACTATAATGACAAATGAAGATATACATTTACATTCTTTGAAAGGTCCTTTAATTAGATACATTGAAGCTATTGAAATACATAAACAGCGTCGCGTTGACGTCACTTGTTTGACATATGATAACCGGATGTTATTACTGGAATCACGTGACATATGGGTGCCTATTCCCTATAAATCAGGTTGTCAAGAAAATGAAGAAATTGTTTTTACCGATGACATTTTATTGCTACCCACTGATTATACCCATATTAGAATAAAGTTGTGGAGACGCTTGCCTGGTATTGAGGGGCGTCAAATCAGTCAGGCTATAGCAACACGGCCTGGAAAGAGGGCACGTGGTGCTAGAAGACAGGGAGCAGAGCCAATGGTCCGCGTTGTACGGGCAACTAACATGTCATTGATTATACAGAAAACTACCGTTTCTTTAGAACTTATTCCTCCAGGAATAAACCAAATATCATTTAGATAAAACCTGACAGTAAATGATAAAAAAAATGTTAAATGTAACTCCTTTATTTTGTAACTACAGCTTGTGTCCTTTAAAAGGTATCAGAATTATGAAACAACGGCTTGCCCCTTGACGGAGGTTGAACCCACGAGGCAAGATTCCTTAAATTACTAGTCCGTGATTACTAGTCTTACGCGTTCACAGCTCGGACATGCCGCCATTCCTAAAGTCATTTGTGTGTGTGTGTATTCTGATGCATTTGAACATGAAGGTAGGTTGTAATGTCCTGGTGGTATTAGTATTGGTAGTTTTCACTCCGTATTACGGCAGTGAGCCACATTGAATTTAACAGAGCACAGTTCAGCCACTGCATCGTTCCAGGGCAGGCTGTGAAGCAGTTTACCAGTATTAGTTGCCTCCACTTTTGTAAGGAACTGAAACTTCTGGATATGCCAGAGTGAATTACCGTAGAAAAGATTTTATGACCAATCACAACGAAGGTGACCTACCGGGAATGAAACCCAGGTCGCCCCATTCACAGTCCAACGCTCTACCTATTGAGCTAACAGCTAACTTGTAATGTCCGACTCGTTATTTAGAGGTTAATGCCTGTGTTACTATATATAATAACAAAATCTAGGGTATTTCAAGGCCATTATGGCAAGATCTGGGTCATTATGCAATTTTAGCCGCCTTGCTACTTAATTGGCGAGTGAATGAGCGCACGTGCAAAATGGCGTGACTTTCAAGATGGCTGTTGCCGTTGAATGAACTTTAGTCACTTGCACATAAAATTTGAAGTTTAGAAGACATAATTAATCGCAATCAACAAAGCTTACATTGAAGATTTATACACTCGAGAAAAAATACAATCACTCTACCCATGACAAAACATAACACTCAGATATTCCGAAAATGATTTCAGACTGACAGTTGAAAAATAGATCGGGGGCATTTAGAGCCTTTCTTAAAAACACAAAAGTCCATAAAAACTGGAACTAAACAATATTCTTACAAAAATATAAAAAGTATTTATCTATATAAATAACAATAAAAACATTTTCTCATATTTATTTTGTGTCGTCGTGTTTTCTAAGTTAATCAGAGAGTTAAACTGAATGACAGATATTTGTTTATACTGCCAGTCCGTTGCTATTTTGGACATAGGTATTATGCGACAATGAACCCAGAGTCTATAATGTCCTGCGGCCCTTAGGCCATAACGCACATCATCGGGCCATTATGATGGCATTATCACATGATGGTGAGCAGCAACCAAGTATTAACCTCTAATATATTTTTGGTACCAACATAATACATGTTTACTGAATAATTATTTCATTGAGTTTGGCAAATTATACACTTGGCTTGCTTCAAGGGACAAGTTGTTCAATGGTCTTAGACAGTTTATTATTATATTCAACTTTGTTTTTGTACCAAAAATACTTCAATGCTTACTTAATATGCACGTCATTGAATTTGGCAAAATGCATACTTAGCCAACTAAAAGAGAAAAAACTGTCCATTAGTCTTATACAACTTGTTACTGTATTCATTACTTTTTTGTCCTGCTTACTGAAAATTCATTTCATTTACTAATGTTAAGGAAGATAGAGGACTTATCATTGCCTTTGCACTAATGCTAACCATTTGTATATATGGGATGTGTATCGGAAATTTTTCATAATAATTATGTTGCTATAAACATTGTACAATGCTTAATGCTTATAAAATCTTATGTCATTGTCGCTTTTGTTGACCATTATTGTACTGTTCTACTCTATGACTGCAAACATAATTATATGTAGTGTTCGCAAATCAACCTACATTCATCCTTATAGGGTAAATTATTGACATTTACCCATATTAATATTTGATGATTTATTGTATAAAATGAAATTTGTGTTCTTTGTGCTTCGCAAGCTCTGTGTTGAACCACCGATGTCTTTTTTTTAAATTATTGAATGATTATAGGGACGCATAGTTAAAATCAAACACAATTTAAATGTAGTTCATTTTGATAATTGATGATCGTTTTCTTTGATTGAATCCCGCTGTGGTTTATTAAGTCTTCAAGTGCTGTATAAACCGGATATCTTTTCATAGAACTTCCGTGATAAAGTCCGCACATCAAAACAACTTGCTCTTTGCTGTATGGATTAAATGTGTTTTAGATATTGATATATAGTAAGCCGAGAAGGAAACGATGCGCGGTTAAACTCTTTCAGTTGATTAAAGCTTAATTAAAGAATACAACATGTGTTTAATGTATAAAATAATGAAAGCCAATGTTTATATACATGTTTTTCTATATATCAATACATATATACCCGGCCATACCAACATATTTAGTTCCTTTATTAATGTCTTCAACATATCTGTAAGAGCGTTCTATCTATGTCATTTTGGAAATGACAGCAATACTGCATGCTCACAGTTTCTGACGCGTTTCAGCAGTTTGTGCTAATTTCTAAGACCGAAGTTTTAATCCTAAAACATTTCTTAAAAATCTTTAATACTTAAAAACAAAAGGGTTCTCCGTATATTTACCAGATTTGAAAGTTTTAAAAGTATATTTTATGATGCTCTGCTTCAGTGTATTATAAATCAATTATAAAGCATCTGGAATTATTGGAATGACAATGGCAAGTTAAATAAGACATGTTCGAGTGCTAGAATTTAAGTATTTAATGACAAATTGATTAGGGTGTTGGTTATACGTGGCGTAGTTTGAGAACAAGCTAGTTATCAATTCGCGTTCTCTTTTTAAAAAAAAATATTTAGAGAGCATGTTGTTTCAGAAAACTAGAAAATCAATGTATTGTTTGATCATGACTATGTGAGGATTAATTTATTGCAAACTGCTCTTTTCATGAGTTCAAAAAGTATTCAAAATAGTTTATACGAGTATTTAATCATTGAATGAATTATTTGTATATTTGAGGGTTTTACGTTCTTAGTTGAGTTCGATACAGTTATTAAATTGGATTTCTAATGAGTTTAAAGGATAACTTTGATTGCTGCATGGTGTGTTATTTATGACATTGATGACAGTAAGACAAACATCACACTGATCAAATACAAAAAGGGTGTCCATGGTGACATGGTGGATACAACCTCTATAGCGTATGATTCTTTTGTAATTTATATTACTTTTTTTTTTAAATCCTACAGTCAATGTTGTGTTCTTTTATCATTAAAATAGACAATACAAGGAACAAATAAGATATAAAGAACGTAATGTAAATGGTATAGATAATAAAGAAGTTAAGACATAAAGAACGTAGTGTAAATGGTATAGATAATAATGAAGTTAAGATATAAAGATCATATTGTAAATGGTAAAGATAAAAAAAGAAGTTTAAGATATAAAGAACGTATTGTAAATGGTATAGATAATAAAGGAGTTAAGATATAAAGATCATATTGTAAATGGTAAAGATAATAAAGAAGTTTAAGATATAAAGAACGTATTGTAAATGGTATAGATAATAAGGAAGTTAAGACATAAAGAACGTTTTGTAAATGGTAAAAATAATAAAGAAGTTAAGATATAGAGAACGTTTTGTAAATGGTATACATAATAAAGAAGTTAAAGGAATAGGAATGGATGGCTTGATGTCTGTCTAATATAAATATGCATCATTTAAAAAGAGGAACCATGACAGTTTTCCTATTGACATCAACCCTATAAGAGAGAAATTTGTGTTTTAAGACACTATTTTTTACTTGAGAAATAAGTTCATGGGCGCCGCCATTTTGGCGTTCTGTCATTCTCGCGAGACAGACGAGACCGAGATTGTGACGTGTAATACCCACTTCCGGTACAGGTGTACACGCTGGTACAACTGAAATATATCTTGATGAAGAACTTATTAATTTTATTGCGTACATTATATATTATTTATGAAAACATCATATGGAACTGAATTGCTTTAATTAATTAAATGAAGACGCCGCGACATTAATTATTATTTCTCCGATATTCAAGCTTGCTGATGATCCCACCACATGATTTAAGCAATGACTGCTTAATTTTCAAAGATAAACCATAAATTTAATTTGGGTACTATGAGAAACTTCTTCAAATTGACGATATATCCTTTTATTTTGTACTTAATTTTCGCTAGGCAAGCTGTCCAAATAGGGTACATCGCCGGTCATGTATCTTTTTTTTTTCAGGTAAAATATCAACTAAATCCAATATATATATCTACTTACCAAATTCCTTTCCCCGACAGATACGCATTTCTACTACCGTAAATTTAATCCAAGAAAACAAAAAAATCATAAATCTACTTAATATTTAAAATGATTATTAAAAGAACGTATTGTAAATGGTAAAGATAATAAAGAAGTTTAAGATCTAAAGAACGTAAGGTAAATGGTATAGATGATAAAGAAGTTTCAGATATAAAGAACGTATTGTAAATGATGTAGATAGTAAAGAAGTTTAAGATATAAAGAACGTATTGTAAATGGTATAGATAGTAAAGAAGTTTAAGATATAAAGAACGTATTGTAAATGGTAAAGATAACAAAGAAATTTAAGATATAAAGAACGTATTGTAAATGATAAAGATAATAAAGAAATTTAAGATATAAAGAACGTATTGTAAATGGTAAAGATAATAAAGAAGTTTAAGATATAAAGAACGTACTGTAAATGGTAAAGATAATAAAGAAGTTAAGACATAAAGAACGTATTGTAAATGGTATAGATAATAAAGAAGTTTAAGATATAAAGAACGTATTGTAAATGTTATAGATAATAAAGAAGTTTAAGATATAAAGAACGTATTGTAAATGGTATAGATAATAAAGAAGTTTAAGACATAAAGAACGTATTGTAAATGGTATAGATAATAAAGAAGTTTAAGATATAAAGAACGTATTGTAAATGGTATAGATAATAAAGAAGTTTAAGATATAAAGAACGTATTGTAAATGGTATAGATAGTAAAGAAGTTTAAGACATAAAGAACGTATTGTAAATGGTATAGATAGTAAAGAAGTTTAAGACATAAAGAACGTATTGTAAATGGTAAAGATAATAAAGAAGTTTAAGACATAAAGAACTTATCATAAATAGTAAAGATAATAAAGATGTTTAAGATAGGATATATGGTTATGTTGCTTGCATACCACACACCGTCATGAAGTGTTGAGTTATTCCGTAAATGGAAGATACAGATCAGACATAGTCTGTATAGAAAGAAAATAATGAAGGAAATAGAGTTAATGTTCTTGCTTAGTCTTGCAGTTTAACATTTAGTGGTAGACATACTCACAAGACACAGGGAACGGACGGACAGAAGAATGTACGGACGCAACCAAGTTGTATTTGCTTCACTCTGTCGGGCGAATTTTGTTCTTAATGTAATTATTTTACACAAAACAATCAAACGTTCTTATATGTATTCTATATATTTTATACATGATACGAGGGTGTTCAAATATGAAAGCAACTTTGTCAATTTTCAGAAGTGCTTAACAAACAGTGCCAAAATAATTATCTCAATCTTTGAAAATACTCACCATTATGTGAGTTTTTAGTTTTAGTGGGGAGCGGTGGCCTAGTGGTTGAGGTGTCTGCCTCTCAACCTAGAGATCATGGGTTCGAGCCCTACTCGGGTCACGACCATTTTCTCCATATGACACCAGTACTGGTTTGTTCCAGGAAGCGGACTCGAAAGTGATTAAAATAAGCTGCAAGAACTTGTTTCGCAATCGAGCTTAAATAAATATGTTTAAACCAGTTTTAGTTTTAGTCTTTTAATCCAATTTTTAGTTGCATTTTCATAATCTTTTCGAGGTATACTGTTCAGACACTGGAAAATAGCCGAACCGCGTTTGATATTTTCTTCCAGCAAAGTGTTTTTTGAACCTCGAAAATAGGAAAAGTCACAGGGGGAAAGATCTGGCGAATAAGGAGGGTGAGAAGCTCAACAACCTTTTCGTGTTTCAGATATGCACGAACAATAGCCTCTTTTTGTGACGAAGCATTATCATGCATCAACCTTACACCATGGTGACAAGTTTCTGGTCGACGGGTTTTCAAATATTGGACCTTGCCTTTGCAAAACTTTGGTACGGC